TCCTCTCCTCTCCTCTCCTCTCCTCTCCTCTCCTCTCCTCCAGGGTGATGGCAGGAGAACCATGATCATCACCGGGCCTAATATGGGGGGTAAGAGCTCCTACATCCGCCAGGTTGCCATTATCTGTGTCATGGCTCAGATGGGCTCCTATGTTCCGGCCTCTGAGGCCCGTCTGGGCGTGCTGGACGGCATTTACACCAGGTATGGACACAAGCACATGTGGAACCTACATCTGCATTTAATAAAGAGTTTAAAGGTCACTACATGCATCATTTACATCACTTTTGAGAAGTGACTTAAAAATCACCAGTGTACCAACGTTGCACCGTTATTCGTAGCCTTAAAATAGAAAGTATCGATGGATTTTAAACTTTCCGACGGTCCTTGAACTACTCATCCGTGACAGAACCAAATCTAAGCTTGAACATTGTCATAGTTCATCAAAATCGCTTTATTCTACACGACTTATCTGACATTTGGTCAAGAAAGACACAGTTTACAACAACCAGATTCTGTAAAAAGGAAAAAAATCTGCACTTCTTGCTGCAGTCATGAAGCCCTGAAGGACTCAGACTACGTTGTTCTGCAGGTTTACATACAGCAGATGGAAATGTGGATGAAATATATGATGTATATAGAGTTCCCAGTCTTGGTAACACCTGTGGGCACCTGAAAAACTGTTGTGTATTTTGATTCCAAGTTTTTTTGTTTTTTAATCCTATTTTGGTAAAACAAAACTTATTTTCTCATTTTTGCTGATAATTTTCTTTTAATATACATTTATGTTGTAAAACATTTTAATTAGATCTAATTATTTTGACAAATGCAATTACAGAAACTCTTCTGTTCAGTACCAATGGAAATGTTTTACTTTCAATCTTCACCTGTTTTTTTCTTCTTCCTCTCAGTTCATTAAACAGCAAAACGCATCACGTGCACCACATTTGATGAACCTTGTAGAAGCCAAAAACATAATAACTTATTACATTTTTGGCCTTTTTCATTTTAAAAAGTGCACATTTATTACATTATCGGCCGTTACTACATGATTGGCTTCTTCAAACCTCCGACTTTAGAATAACTTCCTTACCTCTGTCCAGTGAAGCGATCCAACCCGTCATTCTAAACCACCTGAACCCACAAACTAAGCCTAAACTGGACGTTTACAGATGTGAGGACCGGCCAACATCCTCTCATTACACTGTGATGAAGTCTAAAAGCTGCTGTTCTCATGGACAGAAGTAATCACACACACACATGTAGTGTTGGTGTGCTGACGGGGCCGAGGCTCCCGCTGGGTTAATACGCGGGAACATGCTTAAACCCACAAAAAAAAAAGACAATTACACACATCTGCAAGCCATTAGGTCTAATCACATAGTGCAGCAGAGGCAGAACAACGTGTGTCAGCCTGTGGTCCACGCTAATATGTAGTCAGGACTGGAAACTACATGCAGAGCTTAGTGCTGCTCTGATCGTAATGAGAATCATCAGCAGGGGAAAAAAAAGAATCTTCTCAAACAAAGCTTTATTGTCTGAGGGTTTCTACAATAACGGGAGCTTGTACCGTATCGAACAATAGCCTCGTCAAACAACTCATTTTTTTCTTTCCCCCCCTCTCACACACACCTCTACCTCCTGTGGGGTGAGGAGCAAAATGGGATTATGGGGGATTAGTCTGAGTGTCGGTCCTAAAAATAACCTCGACCGCGTCACACATAGCGAAGGTGACACAATTTAAATGAGGTGCGTTTGTTTTGAGGTATTTCTTTTGTTGTCGGGGTTGCAAAGGTGAAAGTTATTGTTGTCATGGTCACGAGCTAGAAAAGACTTCCTCACTGCTTCTGTCCATCAGCAGAGAGGAAAACGCTGTAAAAATTCGACATACCAGATCGGGTGTACGTAAGCGTGTGTCGATGTATATTTATGAAGCTGCCTTTGAGTGTGAATGTCTCATCTGCAACCCGGCCGCCAGGAACAACAAACGTCTGACGGAGACGCCGCCACAATCAGGCTGCGGTCGTTTTTCTGTACAGGATTGATTTATTCATCTCCTCTAAATAAATCACACCAGAGGATTCATAGGAAGGTGTCACTTCACACCGGTTTTGAAAAACAGTCGCTATAAAGACGAGTCTGAATGAAAAGTCTGCCGTGTGGAACTTTTTGTCCACAGGTTTTGTTGCTTCGTTTTATTGAAGGGACTTTAAATGCATGAAATGAATGAAAAGTATTTCTGTGTGGCTATATTAGTATTAAAAGCATCAGCGCACAGGTTTGTCATCCAGGAAAACCCTCCAACTTAACATAAACCACAAGAAATTAATATAAAAACAGACAATAAATTTAAATATGATCCATATACTTGAAATACTAATTACATTAGTGTCTCACAACATCCTCCAGTGTTTGGGTAAATATCCTTTAAATACATTTTTTGTCGTGTATATGATCAATATCTTGATGTGTTAGTTGCGATGTTATGTAGTAATATTTATTTTTTTGTGTATTTGTAAGGTTAAACAGACTTTTAATCTAAATTCTCTCCTTGCTCTGCCTAAAGGTGACTGAGGAACACTTCGTTTTCTGTATTTTTTAAAACTCTGAACCTTAAACTGACAGCAAGTTTTACAGATCTGGTCGTTAGCTCTGGTGTATATCTAACAACAGAGGGCAACATTAACCCTCTGAAAACAGTTTCTGGGTGTGTTTTTTTTGTTTTCATATTCCCTCACCGTGGGCTAATTTCTCACTGCTTTAAAAAGCACCTGCACCTCTATGGAAACAAGCATTTCCCAGAAACAGAGAGAACTGAAGTGTGACTTGATGTGCAGCATAAAACAAAGTCAGAACGGCAGAAATAATAAAAAAAGAAAAGTTGAGTTTCTGGAATCAGCGCCTACAGGTGTGACCGAAACTGACGGTACATACTACAGATATTATAAATTACATTTTAAATTTGCTTCAAGGTTCAAGGTGACTTTATTGGTACCTGCAGGTCGATTTGTTCTGCAGGAGCAGGAGAGGGCATCACATAGACGTTTAAAACACAGGACAGTCAGAACAGCACAGATATTGACTCACTGAAAAGGGTTAAAAATTAAATAAAAGAAGCACTAAACCACTAAAATATAAGAACCTGTTAAAAGCATGATGCAAAGAGACAATAAATAAGTAAAACCAGGTCCGTTAAATAGAAATAAAAATAAGATAGACCTAAAAGTCAGCGGACTGCTGAAGCTTATAGGGAATCCAGATGTTTTGGATTGTTGGGTGTTTCTGTCTCTGCCTTTGTGAAGCGCTGTGAGATGACTTGTTGTTGTAAATATGCGCTATACAAATAAAATTGAATTGAATTGAACTGAAAAGTAAAGTGCACAATTTAAAAGAGAAGCAGCAGCAGGAACAAAGCTCCTCCGATAGTCTCTAATGTTTCCACACTTGTCTTCTACACAGCCTGCAGTTCAGCCCAGTTAGTCTTTTCATGGCTGTTGGTCTCAGCTGTGAGTGCAGATATTTTTTTTGTGTGTGTGTGTGTACTCTTTATCTGCAATTTTCTTCTTTTTACTAAGACGTAGAATAAAGCGAGTTTGAAGAAATACCACAATTGTCGGCTGAGATTTTGATAATCACGCCGACGGAACTGCGCGTCCCAGATAAGTAGCTCTCTCTGGTGAGGACTGTCGACAAGTAGAACATCTGGGGATCCTTTGTGTGTCATTTTGTTGTGCACGAGGAACATTGTGATTCATGGTCGGCACCTAACAGCCCGAACAAATCTGCTTTTTTAATAGAAACAAACACACCAACAGACTAATAAAAAAAAAAGCCTTTTTGGGTGACAGTTTGTTTGTGGATCAGACTTTGAATGAGGCGGTGATGGGTTCAGGTTGGGGGTAGTTAGTTCAGTCAGAAGTGAAGCAATCCAGAACCGTGCCGCTGCGGTTCAGTGGGTTCTTTGACCGGGGTTTGAGGTTAATATTCTCCCTTTCTCTCAGATGCAATGCAACTCCCAGCTAATTACCGTCCACAGAGGAGAACGCACCCCCACGCTGTACCCGCCGTCCTCCCCTCACCTCCTCCGTTACCTCCGCCGTCCTATCGGTTTCTAATTGGACTGCTCGTCCTCCCTCCGCCGCCGAGCGTCAAGATCCTGAGCAGAATCTGTCTTGATAATAAACGCTCAATCAATTCCCACCGCTGTGTCGAGCGTAATGGACGCAGCGGTGGGAATTGCCTCATCCAGAGTGTGTGTGTGAGAGATGTGTGTGTTTATGAGCGAGCAGGAGACAGAGCTTGTGAGTTTTACTTGAGCAGAGTATGCAGACTTTGAGGGTTGTGGATAATGAGATGGTGCGTAGGTGTCTAATGGGATATCCTGTCTGAACCGATCCATATGATTGATTATCAGCGAGGATAAAGAGAATAATCTGGAGAGTTTAAAGCTGCACATCACTGACTCCTTGTTTAGTTTCTGTGCTCCTGCATTTTTATTTTTATTTTTTATTAATGTGCCTTTTTCTAGCACAATTCTACATGTTTGTTTTACACCAGCAGCGTGTGTGTGTGTGTGTGTGTGTGTGTGTGACAGATGCTGGTGTGCACGTATGCAGCTGCTGTGTGGTGCTTTCTTGTCGGTATTGAGTCCTGAAGGTTATAGAGCACATTCTTCCATCCCTTCATGGTTGTTATGGAAACAGCGAGAGGAAGCAGAATGTAAAACTGTGTTTTGAAAGGACCTTTAATCGACCATGGACTCTTAGCAGTGATTATACCGTGTTTTGATAAAGTCTTTAGCAGGGTCCCCTCCCGTCAGAAAATTCAGGGTTTGTTTTTTTTTTCTGCATCTTTTTTTTTTTCTTCCTTGAGGTCCAGAAATGTGACTGATATCCTCACAGCACCTCACCAACAACAGCAGCAGCAGCAGCAGCGAGTGTTTTGCTGCCAGCAGGTTTTCTGTGTAGCGTCAGCACCGAGGTGGGTGTTGTACACATGTTGAGCATGTGGAAAAATTCGACTCGTTCTTCCCTTTGAGTTTTTCTGGTGCTGCCGTGTCAGAGCGCCTGAGCCATCCTGTAGGCAGCACACAGAGCCGGCGAGGCCTTTGGTGTTCTGTCAGACCTGGAGGTTCAAATCAAACAGGATTAAACTCTGCCGAGAGCCACGATTCAAAACGGTAGAACAAATCTGAAGAGAACATG